AATCTAATAATCCATCTCCCAAATTATTCCTAACCTTAGTGATCCAATTTTCCACAAAAGTTATCTAGAAAGATCCTAACTAGTTAGAGCCTTAGTTAGTAATAATAGAGGATAGGAAGCCCTAGAACTACTACTAGTTATCCTAGAAGATCCTTGCATAATAATTAGCTACTATAGAGACTGTTACCTTAAGCTAAACATATTTAGATAATCTATTAGTAATAACTAATAGGTACTAAGGTTTTCTATTATCTTTTATAGGTAGGTTAACTATAAAATTTATAGATATTTAGGACTAGTATTATAACGCAACTAGTATAGGTTATAATAGACCCTATTAGCGCCTCTAGGAGATATAAGCACTATAATAATAGTAGTTCTAAATATACTATATAATATCTCCTAATATTCTATCCTAATAATAGTTATAGCGTAGTATTTAAAATATTATATTCTTTCCTAGATATCCTACTAAACCTAATTTATATGCTTACTATATAATAGTAGTTATAAGGGGTTCCTATATTAGTAACTAAATAACGCCCCTCTAAAGTAAAGTGCTATGTGCGCTAATTATATAGTCCATAATCTATTGCTTTATATTAGCTAGAACTAGGAAAGACCTAGCGCCTTTCTAAACTATATTAAGACGCACTTAGTATATCTTATCTTCTAATACTACTTTGTCCTATAGTATCTATATATACAGGTTAGTAAAAAGGCTAGTGCCCTTTAGTAACTTAGACGCCTTCTCTACTTCTAACACTATAACCTAAATTAATTTAGGGCGTATTACTAACTATAGCGTTACTTTAGAGAAGTTTAAGTCTTATAGTTACCTGCTTAAGGTATTAGGTTATCCTATAAGATAGCTAGGTCTATACTATAGAATATACTAATATTTTAAAAGTTCCTCTACCTAGCAGTACTATTACTTGCTTAAGCTTTAAAGGCTAGTAAAGTACTCTAGGTTTTTATAGTCTATAAATATTATAAATAGTTTATAAATACTCTATAACTTTACTAACTAGCTTTTAAGATACTTAATAATAGCTAGCAATTCCTTATTATATATAGTATAGTTTTATCTCTCTAGTGTTAGTGCTATAGAGTAGTAAGTAACTAGGCGCTAGACGCCCCTAACTTTTTATAATAAGCAACCCCTAAGAGTATATCCTAAATAGTCTACTTCTAATAATATTTCTTTAGCTAGGTCCTATTATATTAGTACTAGTCTAGATATAAATACCTTTTTTAGTGTATTAAATATACTCTATTCTTCCTCTCCCTATTAGAATAGGGTATCCTTCCTAGTTAGTTAGTTTAAAGGCGCTACTACTTTAGAAAACTTTATAATAAAATCGCGATAGAAGTTAGTAAAACCTAGAAAACTCCTTACCTCTCTTATATTCCTAGGGGATTCCTATTCCTATACTACCCTAAGCTTTTTAGGGTTAGGTTTAAGTAATTTACCTACCTTAATAATATAGCCTAAGTAGCGTACCTCCTTAATACTAAACGCACACTTCTCTAAGTCTAGGTGTAGTCCTACTTCTTTTAATAGCATAAGTACACACTTTACTTTTTCTATATAGTTAACCTAGTCTCCTCTAAAATAAATTAGGATATTATTAAGGTAGGCTATTATACATAATCTAAGTAACTTTATAAGCGTGGTATTAATATATTATTAGAAAGTAGATAGCGCACTACTAAGACTAAATAGATATACTAACTATTTATATAACCTAAACTAGGTATAGAAAGCTATTAAGGACTTATAACCTTCTACTATTCTAACTTTATAAAAGGTAGTATAAATATCCACTTTTATAAACTAATTTACACTAGATAGTGTATATAAAGTTTCCTTAATAAGTAGTAGTAGGTATTAGTCTAATATTATTATACTATTAAGCATCTAGTAATCTATATAAAGGCGCTAACCACCTAATAGCTTCTTTACTAGTAATACTAGAGCTCTAGCTATAGAAGAGCTTGCTTAGATCTAGCCCTTATCTATTAATCTAGTAAGTTATATTCTTAGTTCTAGTAATTAATTATAAGATATAGGGTATAGGGGACCCTATAGGGGGTTAGGCTAGGTTCTATCTAGGAGAGTTATTAACTAAATATAGTAATCTATACTACCTTAATAAGGTAGTAAACTACTTGCTAACTCTTTATTAAACAGGTCCTTAAACTCTTATAGTTCTAGTAGCAGCTTTATCTTTCTAGTTTTATACTTAGGTTTATAGGAAACTATACTATTAGTAATATAGATAGTGTGTATATTAATAGGACTTCCCTTATTAATACTTCCTAGATATTTTATTAGGCGTAAGTTATATATTACCTATAAAATATCTAGTATATTTATTATAAAAATTTATACCTATATATTTTCCTATTAAGGTCCTTAATTTAGTAACCCTACTATAACTAGACCTAAAATAATAGAGATATAGGTAGGATATAGGCGTCTCCTACTCTTTTATACTACTATATTTCCTACCTTCCTAATAATTAATTTGCCTTATAGAATATCTATAACAACGCCCTCTCTACATAGCTATAGTCTACCTAGTATTAGTTAATAGAAGAGACTAGGTACTATATAAGCTAAAAGCTAAGACTACTAACTATCTAAATTATAGTCTAATACTACTAACTATAAAATTCTTATACCCTTAGTAATTCCCTAGGTATATTATAAGGGTTATAGGGGAATATTAATAAAGTTCCTACTAATCTATCTTACTAACTTTTCCTTAACTATACTAAAATACTAGTACCCTAAATTAACTATTACTTACATATTCTCTACTCTACCTAGGAGAAGGGGAATAAAGAAAGAAGGATTATTTAACCTAGCCTTAATATCTAGGGGATACTTAATAGCCTCTACTATTAATAATTCCTCTATTATAGTGTCCTCCTTATACCCCTAACTTAGCCTAAGGTTAGGGGTAGCTAGTTTCCTAAATTAGGGCTACTTACTAATACTATAATTATCTTAACACCTACTAGTTATAGTAATAGGGTATTAGGGTATACACGTATAAAATAACTACCCTATCTATACTAGGTATAGACCTTTACTAGTTTCTATATATTAAATAGGTCCTATAGGATCTAGTTAGGATATAATATTAGTAGTTTAGTAGGTATACTTAATAAGGCTACTACTTCTACTATATTTATATTACTATCCTAGTCTAAGTTAGACTTCTACTAGGGTTCCTTAGACTTACTAGCCTAAAGAAAACCTAGTTCTAGAGAGGCTATTTTAATATCTACTATAATTATCTTATATTCCTCTATAGCTATATTATAGTTTATCCTAGAGACTCCCCTATTAAGGGAAACTAAGCGTATATAACTATTAAGAGATTACTAAAGTTATAAAAGCTTCTATTTATTATCCTAGTATAAACCTCCTAACTATATAAGAAGCTATATAAAATTTATAAAGAATTCTATAAAAGGCTAATTTTAGCCCTAATATAAGTGTTCTAATATAACTTAGGCGCACTTCTACCTATAATAGTTACTATAATAGAATACTAGGTAGTTAAGAAACCTACTTATATCCTAATACTTATATATACTATCCTTAAAGTATAGTACTATAGTGTGCTAGACTATAGGTAATAACTAGGACTAAATATATATAAACCTTGCCTCCTTATCCCTAATAAAGACCTTATCTACACGTAGTTTAAACTCTATAGTTATTTACTAGGAGGAGAAGTTTACCTTAGTACTATTATATAGTAAGCTAACTAGGAATAGTTTATAGTATAAGGTAGGAGAGGGTAGAGGTAGTATATTATTAAACCTAGCAGGCTTAGAGGGGGGTTAGGATAGAATCTAATTACGTATTTCCTTATTCTATTAATATAGTATAGCTATTATAGCAGAGTCTTAAGCCTATTATTCTATTAATCTATAGACCTATTATATTAGCCTTTCTATTATATTAGGTTGCACCTAGTTATTCTAAATATCTAGCGTGTCTATCTCTTATTACTATTATAGTATATTTAGAAGAAGATACTAAAATATTATAGACTAGCCTTAAGGGAGAATATAATAAGTATTAATAATAGTATTTAGTATCTTAAAGGAGAGATAAGCCCTCTACGCCTTTTTATAGATATCTAGTGTGGTCTAGTGTGTTCACTTAGTAGTAGTGTTAGACTTAGTCTGTCTTGTGTTAGACCTAGGCTTAGGCATAAGCCTAAGTCCTTTACAGGAGGTAGTGTTAATAGAGGTGGTAATAATAGAGGTGGTGGAGGTAGTGATAATAGAGGTGGTGGAGGTGGTGATAATAGAGGTGGTGGTGATAGAGGTGGTGGTGATAGAGGTGGTGGTGATAGAGGTGGTGGTGATAGAGGTGGTGATAGAGGTGGTAGAGGTGGTGAAGAAGATTAAAGAAAGGAGGGGTAAAATACTTAGATAGTTAGTAGGAAACTAGTAGATTAATAGAAGTAGAAGTAAAAGTAGAATATATAGTATAGTAAACCCTATTTAGGTTTACTTCTTCTACCTAAACTACTTCTTAGTCTACTTTAGATAAATATGGCTACTGTAAACCGGTTTTGTACCGTAGTGCCATGAAGAAACCTTGGAAACACAACCGCAGGACTTTTGGGGGACACGCGGCCTTGGCGATTTCCGCTGCCGTATCACCGTAACTCCGTATAGCCGTATCTCGTATCTTGAATACGAGCGGGCGCTAGGCCGAATACGACGCCTTCGTGTCTGCGAAGCCATGTTCACATTTTCTCAACCACAAGCTGTGATGAGAAGGCGGGATAATCACTGGATATCCCATGTGGCTAGTTGGGGGACATGGTCGCATATATAATGGTCTTGTTCCTTACCCTCCCACACACATACCGCACCCATATCATTCACCACCACTGTGAACGCAACATTGTCGCTCGACTTCATCATCCACTATCCTAATTTGAGATCCAATTCAAACCAGGGAAATGAATTTTTTTGTTACTTACTTCGCGTCCGTTGAGCGATTTAGTCGCTCCATCCATATTACCCAGGCCATCCTTGTTCTCACAGCCTTGATTGTTGGATGCGTGCTTCTTGCGGATGGATCGATGCCACGAAGTCGCAGCACTACGCTCATTCTTGTCTACGCGATCAAGTCAGCAATTTTCCTGCTTTATCAGTACTTGACAAAGAAGACGGAGAGATTCAGGCGATTCGCTAGCCTCAAGGCATACATGATCCTTGATGCGCTAGACTGCTTGCTTTGGTTTACAGCATTTATCATCTCATGTATGGGTGGTATGTTAAATTCGCAGAATTTAGAAATGTGAAATGATAGCTAACAGTGTCAAGGCAGTAGATGTCGTGGAAAATCCTGCGTGGTGATTGGCATTGCGGCTGCGATCTCTGTACTTCTTTGGTATGCTTGGACTCTCATCTCCTGAAGCTTTGGGGCTTAATGGTTAACATCTCATTTAGTTTGACGTATGTGCTCACATCAAGCATGGCGATCCGCAACTGGCGCATTTCCAGGCGTCCTTCGAAGGCTGTAACTAAATCCCCCTCCGAGGCTTGAACATCGTCTACCAGTTCAAGTACAACATTAGTAGTCCCCAGACGGCGGTCGGGAGCATCTCAAACGTTTACGAATACTTTATGATCTGTACAATCAGAGTGGAATCACAGTGTGATGATCAAGTCTACAGAGCTACAACTCAGACAGACGGGGCCTATAGTACAAAGTTCAGCAAGGAACCATTCGCGGTCATTCTTCTTTCACTTCCTAGAATTCTGTCGATTATCGTGCCGCTGTAGAACACATTAGGCTTTTTTTGAGTCATGAGTATCCATCTTTAATGGGGTAGACTCTTCCCTTGCCATGTGTATGTGAAGTTGCCTGGTGCAGAAAGATTCTCTTCTCAGTAACAAAGGATATTGTAGGATTCGTCGCATTCACGCTAAGAAAATACACTTTATTCTCATGATGTATGTACTCACTCTCCTTGATAATTTGCCTTATGCCTGCCAATACTACCAAGTTATTATCATGCTGTCTTCAAGCATGGAAGTATATATCAGTTCGCAAACGAGCACTGTGAAGTCAAATATCTCACCTGTCAAGATATCTCAGTGCATCACGAGATCCGTTTGTCGCGCACATGACCTTTTCTGATATTCTATTGAAATTTTGAAGTGAAATTGGCTTGCAAGGGAGAGCTGTGTTCGTCTCCACAAGCCAGATTTTCACTATATCCCGCTAAATAATTATCTAAGCTGGTGAAGGCACTTTGAAGATTAATTGGATGATAGATATCACTAGCTGACAAGGTATAAGGGCGACGGGTGATGGCATGAGAGCCAGAAATGAAGGAGGCTGATCTTGGGGCTTGTGGAAGTATCTCGAAGAACTGAGAAGGTATCTGGTACATGAAGTGGTGCTGAATTTATCCTCTTCAGGTATCCTGAAGCTCGTGATGATGGTACTGGTGCGAGCCAATATTACATGAAGCAGTGAGAGGTTCTTGTGATATTGATGGCACAGGGTTAGGGTATCTTGAGGTAGCAACAAGGTAACAATGTAGTCAGATCAGCGTCAATGGTATCGCATATGCAATCAAAATATCACTCGTAAACAGTCACAATGCACAATTTTCAAAATCATAGTGGTTTCCTGTACTACTACCGGTACCTGGCCCCCACCCGTCACTCCTTCTCCTCCCAGAACCTCTCCACCGCGGTGCTACTTCCGCTCAGTCGTCCTGGCAGGCTCCGGCACCAGACCTCGTGCATAGAATTTAGGCCCAAACCTCTCAACCTCTTTGGTGAGGCTGGAGTGGCTCCTATGCGGTCTGGTGCCATCAACACCTGCCAGCGCCCTGCCCTCGAAGCGCTTGTTGAACTCCTCGACGAACACCTTCCAACCCCGGGTGGGCTTTCCGGTGGTGAGGTTCGAGAGGATCCACAAGCGCTCCTCAGGCACATAGGCGCGGACAACTTCGCGGAAGCGCACGTTGGTGTTGCGCCGAATCTGCTGGACGGTGCGCTTGTTCAGCGCCGTGATGGCCTCCTGGTTGCCCCAGTCACGGGGCGGCGGGTTTGCGAATATTCGCTTTCGCCCCGCCTTGTCCAGGAGCTTGATGACCAGCTTGGCTTTCTGGTCCGCGACGGACCCATCGGGCAGGAGTTCAAACCTGCCCGGAACGAACTGGGTGAACTCCGGCTCCTTTACAAAGTCGCCATCGTTGCTCATATCGGTGGCGTAAACGCCCCAGTTGACGTTTCGAAAGAGGTGTGGCTTGCCGGTGTCTTTGACGTCGCCAGATGCGTCATCCGCATCGCTGTCGTAGTACTCTGGCCCCACCTTGGTAGCTTTGGCGATGAGCTCCGCGTGAGGAGCGTAGCTGGGGTCGAGAATGCGCTTGTTGCGCTTCAAGGCCGGGGTCAGCAGGGAGAAACTTGGGCCAACTTCCTCCCCGCTTGGCTCATCTTCATCGCCGGCATCGAACATTGCGTCGTCCTCATCCCTAATTAGGATAGCCTCGCCCTTGACCTTGGTCTTCTTGGCTCGGTGAGAGGGTGCCCTCTTGGTGTGGTGGGCATTGCTATGCTTGGCGGTATACTTGCTTGTGTGTTTGGACAACGTGTTCTTAGGCATGATATCAATCTCAGAGTCTGTGTCGTCGATATCGTGTTCGAGAGCGATGGGAGCTGAGCGCTTCACGCCAATGCTGGGAGGGGAGACGCTTACTGCTTGTGGGAGCGACTCTTTCATGGCCGACTTGATACAGCGAAGCTTGAGCTTGAGACCCGAACCAGTCGTGTCAGAGGAGGTGGTGGTATTATCATTGTCGGAGACAACTGTGAAGGGGTTGTTGAAAGGAGATGTAGGAGTAGGTGTTGTAGTCTTCTCGGTCAGACGCTTCAGGATGAACTTGATGCGAGGCGAGCCACCTGCCTTTGGCGAACTGTTCTCTTTATTTGATCTGGGAGGAGAGCCATCTATCACTATGTCAGTCAAGTACGCAACACTCAGATTATCAAAATACATACGAGCTTCAATACTGGCTGGCGCGTCGACTGAAGTCGGAGAGTCAACCTTGTCGTGAGCGGCGATCTTGATGTCGCACGCAACGGGAGTATCGTGGTCGCTGGCTGGCTGGATTGGGAAAGTGGCATGATCGGCTGAAGTGGACTCGTCGTTCGAAGCGGATGCGGAGTGCTCGCGCAAGTCAATGTCAGTGCTCTGGGCGTTAATGTTCTTGATGTCTTGAACGACGGCCTCTGAGCTCTCTTCGAGCAGGACAGTGCCGGTGATGTCTGGATGAGGAGATGATATCAAGGCAGGGCTTGCGACTGGGGACGAGACAAGAGCAGCCAGCTCATTATCGCCAGCACGATCAGCGGCAGACGACATGAGCGACGACTGAGTTGCGGAAGACATCGTGAAGACGAGCGAAACTGAACAACCGTGGATGGTAGAACACGGTTCTGGTGAAAGCGCGACTGAAATTTCGATGATAGCTGAAGCGAAACTAGTGCAAGAGAGAAGCAGGCGTAAAAAGTTTTGAAAAATTTTGAGAGTGCAGAAAGTGTTGAAAGGAGCTGAGGATCAAGTCGAACAAGACACTTGGGGAGTGAGATCTATATAGACAGGGCAAGCCGACGTTGGTATTGTTCAATAATTATTGTAGCGAGCTGCTGAAGAACTCATGTCGTCTGTGCTTTCATCGGCGGTGAAGGTGAGGACTGTAAAGCTGATATCGAGGTCTGAATGACGTGGTGGATGCGGGTGAGCGATGGCAATGATCCATCGCAAAGAGCAGTAGTCACAAGATCAGCAATCACGAAATGGTATTTGGATTGAGACACAAGCCACTAATTCGTGTATGGGATTGACTTACTCTACTGCCGCAAATGTTCCATGTGTAGAAACAGGGAGACTGTGCGGTATCCTTGGCTTTTGTCCTCACTCTGCATCCTACATGAGGCACGACCAACATTGCTTGGAGCGCCTCGCGACTGCAATTTTTTGTGTTCCATTTTGATCATCGTAAATATATCTTATGCGAGAGGCAGTCTTGTCAACTTAGGGACAGAGCTTTTAGGTAGACCTCTGCAAGACAATGATTACAATAGCAGTGGTATCTTGATTCCAGTTCACCATGAATAGTGCATACCTATTGTAGTAACTGACGCCAGTGGAAGCTACTGCCGGTTAGAGTTTCTCGATCCGACCAGAATCTTGCTTCATAATTGAATCTTATTGAATCCCATAGATTCAAACACTTATCTCTTGAAAAAGGTCGATGAGATTAAATTTGTTGGTGGATAGCCCAAGAGCGACCATGCACATCGATTGTCACTGACGTCACTGACAAACGCTTCAGTTGCGACCTTTCGTACCAACAATAGAAATAATTTCCAAAGTCCAGTACTAACGGATCTCGTTGGTATGAATGCGACTGAGACATGTATGCTGTTAGGGTCCTGGGATACCGTCCGCGGCCTTCTGACACATACCATTGTAGAATCGCGAAGATATGTCTCAACTTCCTGGACTGTCAGCTTGCGAACATTAAAAAAAATTGAATCTACAAGTTCTATTTGATCTGAGACCTGGTCCCCTTTGAGGGTGATTTCGACACTTCGATACGAACCAGCAGCCATCCACCCATTACCACACTGCAAGCTCGCGATACTGTCGCTTATGGCCAGTCATTCTTTGCAATACATAATCTGAATTCATGATATTTAGATGCAGCTCCAGGAAACTACCTGCGAACCTGGAGTTCTGACGAGCTTAACCTGCCGAGAGAATTGATCTCGTGGTGGTCGCGAGCGCCTGCCAAATCGATGCACGTTGACTATGGCAAAGAAAAGTTTGGAGAAGAGCTTGCAGCTAGCTCCTTTTGTCCTGCGTCAAGTGTACCGTGAGTTAGCTTTGGATCTCAATAGGAGAGTCGGGAATAGTTGATGGATTTCGGAGGTCTTCCTTAGATGAGGCTAAGAGAACCCACAGCCTTGGAGTCAGACGCCCCTTACTACGGTAAAAAATTGTTTACTATAGAATGGTACGCTAGGGGTTTACTATATAGGTGTAAACTAACCTCGTGTATACCTATAAATAGGTTTAAAGTGGTAGTTTACTTTTATAGTAGGGGTTTAAATTAAGTATAAAAAGTAGTTTTATTTGTATTATACGCTATAATACCTAACTAAGACTAAAAGGGGTAGAAAAGATTAGCTTTATGCTATACGCACATATAATATAATAATAAGTTATAATATTTTTACTAATAGGAGGTGGTGATAATAGAGGTGGTGATAATAGAGGTGGTGATAATAGAGGTGGTGATAATAGAGGTAGTGATAATAGAGGTGGTGGAGGTGGTGGAGGTGGTGATAGAGGTGGTGAAGAAGATTAAAGAAAGGAGTGGTAAAATACTTAAATAGTAGGAAACTAGGTATTACTATATAATACTAGTAGATTAATAGAAGTAGAAATAAAAGTAGTTTACTTTTATAGAATATATAGTATAATAAACCCTATTTAGGTTTACTTCTTCTACCTAAACTACTTCTTAGTCTACTTTAGATAAATATAGCTACTGTAAACCAGTTTTGTACTGTAGTGCCTGAAGAGTCCGAAGAAAAAATTTATCACTCCTTTCAAGTGCCTGGTTTGTTTGCTGACGGTGTACCAGCACTTCTCACTCTTGGACACTGAGACAGTGCAAACTACCCTTGCTCAATCCTCCATGACTAAGATTCCATAGAGCTCAAAGCCCCGATATGTTTCAGGACCTCAGACAACACAATGTGGTCTCGAACATGTCCAACCTAAACTTGGATGTTCCTGCAGTGTATCCTCACAATGAATCCGCGCGTGGAAGTACTACACAACGGGCTTTGTTGTGAAACATTTCACACCGACTCAGGAGGATGCAATGTTCGTTCACAAGGACACATTGTGAATGGGCCATCTCAAAGAGCTAGCTCTTGAGCTCTTTCCTATACCTGCAATTTCCGTAAGATCTGTGCAAGATATAGTCCAAACCCTTCTCGCGACACTATCTTCACCATGGCCACCGAACCCGTCAGCCTAGAGCAAATCGTAGCAGCAATGGATTTAGACAAGTACTTCTCCCACCACAGCCTCGATAATCTCCCCGCAGAATCTGGATTAGACGGTGAATTCAGTCTTTACAAGACACTGAGTGGCTTTCCCCTACAGCACAAGGCCCTAACGAGGCTCCGCCGCTGCGCTTTCATTGTAGGCCCCATCATGCGCCGCCGCGGCTGGCAAATGCCCATTCTCTCCGAACTTCTCCCCTTCGACGACTGTCTGGGCAAGACCTATTTCACCCGCCATATCCGCTACCGAACGTTGCGCAATGAAGTAACGCTGATACCGCAGGAAATGCGGTTACGACTGCGGTATCCCAATGATCCAGGATCGATACTGCCGATGAAGCAAATCATGCGGACTGTACTGCATGAACTTGCGCATTTCCATCATCGTAATCATTTTTTCTCGTTTTATCGGTTCAATGCTGTGTTGCTGGCTGAACTGGAGTGCGATGTTCGAGAGGGATGTCATAGGGAGAAGGTGGGCTGGAGGGAAATTCCGAGCATGGTTGCTAGTTGCGAGGAGATGCGAAATTCTATGATTAGGGATGCTGGGGAGAAGATTAGAGCGTTTCTTGGTTCTTTGCAGGAGATGCAGGATAATTTAGGTGAGTTGCTTACATATTAGAATGTATGGAAAGATGAGAGTTGTGCAGTATCTGTCAGTGGTAGGCACAGAGTGAAGGAACTGGAATGAGATTATTACAATAGTAGAGCATGGTAGTCCAAATAACCTTTACATAAGTGGGGGACCGGTACCGGTATACCAAGACCGAACATATGTTGTGCGTACAACTTCAGCTTCAGGTCAATCCTTTGTTCAACTAACCATGCCAGAAATAAAGGCTAAGTAAAAAGGCTACAAGCAAGAAATTGCCAATTCTATTTACTTTCCTGAACAATGTAATGAAGAGCAGAGTAGCCTAACTTCCCCCAACAAAGATGCTTTACTTTCCAGTACATGCTTGATAACGCGACATATAAGCTCTACTTTGAGCTGTGGACTTGAATATAAGATATCAGGCGGATCTCGTGTTAATTCCATGTGTCTCGCAACGCTCGAAAAGGTCCGCTGCGTTTAGTGGGATCGTAGAATAAAATTAAGTTTGTTACTCTGGCGCTCTGCTGACGCTTTGCGAGGCCTATAATTGATTGAAAGGTTACGGGGTGTTACGGTTTATGCGCGCGAGGTATAAACGAGCGGCTAGGAGTAAGAAGACGGTTCAGCAGCATGGGAATGCAGGCTGGGTTCGTGCAGCCGTGAGACTTGGTTTATATACCACATCTCACAAAATAGATGGCAATGAATTGGGAGGCCTCGTTCCCACACACTAGAATCTTCGTATGGCCAAGGTATAAATTGGTTTCTCCCAAGCCTATATGCCATCATATGAATGGAAGTGTTGATATTTTCCCCTCCCTTCCCTTTGCAACATCTACCCACTAGGATTTCCATTAAACGGAATCATATTGATTGTACCAGCGGGCACCCCAGTTATTCTATCCCTATTACCCAGCCCCAAGATACGCTGAGCAAGAGCCGGAGGACTCTTCTTCCCCTCCAACGCAAGAAAGTACGCCGCAAGGCCAGCAACATGCGGTGTTGCCATTGACGTGCCGGACAGCACAGCCTAAAAATATCTTCAGCTTGATGATGATTTGCCAGAATATCACAAAGACTCACCGTAGCTCCACCCTTCCACGTGGAAAGAATGCCCACACCGGGTGCTAAAATGTTGACAACGGAGCCAAAGTTGGAGAAACTTGCCCATCTGTCGCTGGAGTCTGTGGCGCCGACGGTGAAGGCGCTGACTTCGGATGCAGGAGAGGCATTATTAGCATCCTGGGCAGAGTTTCCGGCCGCGACGGCGAGGAACATGCCTGATGAGACGGCATTCGCTGCTGCTGAATTTAGAGCCTCGGATTTGCCGCCGCCGACGGATAGGTTGGCAACAGTGCCTCTGCAATTTCTTTTGGGGCCATCGTTTGCAGCGAAATTGATGCCTGCGATGACGCCTGAAAGAGCGCCCTAGGATCCTGTTAGCAACGAGTATAGCGTGGAAGTGTGGGAGGGATAGGTGCGTACCGATCCGTCGGCTTTGAGAACCTTGACGGCGTATATCTTCGCTCTCTTAGCAACACCATAGGTTTTGGAACCAACGGTACCAGCAACATGGGTACCATGACCGTTGCCATCTACGTTTGTCCCGTCGCCGGCAAAGTTGGCAAGAAAGGTGGCACGACCTTCGAATTCCGGATGCGTGGTTTCAACGCCAGTGTCGATAACGTAGACACATGTGGCAGCTCCAGCAGTAGAATCATACACATATCTCCCTGCATTAGGCGTCTTGAAGGAAAGTCTACCCAGGCCCCAGATGGACGAGGTAGAGCTCTGTGTCACAAAGGCTCTCTTGACAATCCCCGGAACCTTGCCAAAGTCGAGTGAGAGGACCAAATCTTGCTCAACATCTGCAATCTTTGACCGTATCAGTAGGATGAAGGCTGATCGTCACAGTCCAGGCTTACATAGTGAAGCCTGCGCAGGCCGTCAGCTACAGCCTCACTGAATGTACCAGCGAAGCCCCCGAATGCCGCAAATTCATAAATGTGTAGGACATCTGCTCTGAAAAAACGTCGGACATCTCTGATCAATTGAGCAACCGACGAAGCTATCATGGCAGACGGCTTGAACTGGACAATGTACTGGTTTGGAATCAGAACAACATCGCGAGGCGCAACAATGGGCTCTGGCTGCGGAGTGGCAATGACAAGAGGCAGAAGCGCGAAAAGGGCCAGAAACTTCATCTTTGACAGAGTTGATTGGTCAATTTGCGTTGAGTTGGAATGTCGTTTGATATAACAGAAGAGTTATTGCAAAGTTCTGGATACCTCATTCAATATGTATGTCTCTTGGATAACTTACATGGATGCATGTGCAACGTGCCAAGCCATGCTCTCAACCTCTATTCACAACCCTGACATCGTTGCTACGAGAGGCTGTAAGACCGTGACGTTTTTCCTCGGGGTAGACGATACGCGTATACAAATATCATAGGATGGTGCAACTGGTACCCATTCCTAGCAGGGACTATCTCGGTGAGACACACGTCCAGCACAAACCTCAGGGAGAGGCACATGGACAAATTACAGGCTTCCAGGCCCAAGTTACCAAGTAATGACGGAGGAGAAAATGATGGTGAAATGTCGTTGAAAATACCAGTGAAGCAATGCCATCAACCTTTTACCACAGGGGACAACGGACCTCCCCGTCCATTCGTCGAGGCGCCGCCCTGGAGAACGTTACCGCAACACCTTAATCCATTCCCGTCTTTTCCCACAACAACACTAAGCAGGCCAGACTCACATGGTGCCTGTATGAACGTCAGCAGTCCATCGGAGAAAATATACCAATCTAACCGCATGTGGCGCATCGGGATTACAGTCCGAGCAGAGAAATGCATGTTGGTCGCATGCGCAAGATTCCACGCATTTTGAGAATCAGATGATAGGTTGGATAGGAATTAACTAGTGCAGTAACGTTTAGCTGCTAAGTTGAAAGTAGTACCAGCGATGATGATGCTCGGGTGGCTTGGTGATATGCTGGCAAACGTCAGATGTGGTGGGAGTCGTCTGCCTCTCCCTTTCCATCTCCTTTTCAGCCACCATACACACTCCCACACTGCCACATATCCAACAACTAACACAAACCCCCTCTCCAGAACCCCTTAACCAATAGATCCAATTCTCCAGTCTCCGATTATAAAGGTATACAACAATCAGCCTCAAAAAGACACTCAATAAATAACCACCGATACTGCTTACTCGATTACGCCCATCTTGATACAGATATCTCATGCGAATATCCAAGCCGAGATGGAAATAGTACTGCATTACTTATTTCCCCATAACGCTCATCTAGCCACAATTACCACGTCCAGTCAACCATGCACCCTCCATCCTTCCAGCCCCTACACCCCAATTCTACTCTGAATCTCATCAACTACATCTCCTCCCTTTCCAAACTCCCCGCATCATCGCCACACAGCCCCAAACTGAACCACCCTCATCTCCCCCCAAAAGGCCTCGGTCCAATAATCTGCCTCTTGCCTGCCCCAATCCCTCCCAACGTATTCTGATTATCCCCGCCCATATATCCATACTGATTAACATCCCAACTCTGCCCACCTCGAGTCCCCGCATGCGGATCCTTGGCCTGATCCTGCAGCGCGCGCTGCGTCTCCTCCCACTCCTTCTGGCGCTCGCGCTCGCGCTCCATTTCGCGCTCGAGTAGCGACTTGGAGGCCCAGCCCAACGCCTTGGTCTTCTGCTGGCTGGCGGCGCGGCGGGCGTCTTCGGCGCGGAGTTCGGCGGTCGAGGTGAGCTCGGGGGGAATGTGGGATTTGGGCGGCGAGGGGGTCGGGGCTGGGTTGCTGGAGAGATAGCGTTCTGTTCTGTTTTGGGGATGGTGGGATGGAAAGGCGGGGGATTGAGAGGGTTTGGCATAGGCGGCGGGGTCGGGGAGGGGCCGGGGAGATGGGGTGGGGGACGGGACGGGACGCGTGGGTAGGGAGGGTGCTGTGGGTGTGGGTTCTGGTAACGGACGGGCGGGTTGTCGTTGTGTGGTTTCCCATGCTTTGCGTAGATAGTCGCGGTCATCGGCCTGTTGCCAGGATACGTTGCTATCTTGTGGTGATGGGGCGCGAGGAGGAGGTTGTGGGCGCGACCGACTTTTCGATCGTTCTCGGGCCCGGCTCTTGGAGCGCGAGCGAACCTTCTTGTCTTGAAGACGTCCTTCGCGCTCGGCCTGGTACTGACGTTCGCGCTCTTTGGCTTCTTCGAGTTGGCGCTCGAGTTCGCGTATGCGTTCGCGCTCTGCGTTGTGCTCTTCGCTTTGGCTGTTGCGCCGGCTGCGAGGCTTGCTCGCTTGCTCGGCCTGGTATTGACTCAGGAATTGGCCTTTGAGTCTGGCGTCACTACCGGCTCGCTTGCGGCGCATTTCAGATTCCAGGCGTTCTTGGGCTTCGCGCTCTTCGCGCTGCCGATGCTCCTCTTCCAGCTTCCATTGGCGTTCCTGCTCTTCCCACTCACGTTTCTGTTCGTCTAGCCGCCGTTGCTTGGCTTCTTGCTGCTTGCGCGACTCTTCCTGCCACTTCTGCTCCTCGTCTATGCGTATGCGCTCTTCTTCGGCTTCGCGCTCGACTCGACGTCTATGTTCGGCCTCCTCGGCTTGTACACGCAGTCGCTCCTCCTCTTCAGCCTTTTCTCTGCGCTTTCGCTCCTTCTCAGCGAGGCTCGGCACACTTGGGCCAGCACTCGTAATTTGACGTCGCCCGCCAAAGGAGATGCCCTGATTGCCCTGACTAGCACCGCCCATGTAGCCATACTGGTGGATGTTCCATGCCGGCGCTGTAATGCCCTCGTCAGTCTTCTTGCTCCAGCTACTAACTCCGCCAGGAGGTGACGTGGGATGACCAGTGGACGTGTGGGATTTGCTGGATCCTCCAGTGCGCGTGGGGCTCAGCGCTGGCCGCTCACTTGCTCGTGCCAGCGGGTTGAAGGTGCTTGAGCCGCTGGTGTTGCTGGTGGTGCTGGGACCCCTGCTTCGTCCGAAACTAGGTGATGGCAGTGTTGAAGCGGAAGTCGTATAAGTGGCAGCGCCATTGGTTGATGGGCTGATGGGACCACCTCCGCCACGCTTTGGGCCTATGGTGGTGGGAAAGTTGGCGGGATTCTGTGCATTTGCGACGCGGCTGAATGCACCGAGACACTGGAGAACCTGGGCTGGGTCCTTGCTCTCGTACAAATCGACGGTAAGAAAGCGGTCGTGTGCGGGCATGCTGAGTGGCGGTTGTTCGCAGGCGCGTAGGAAGTGCGATATATTTTCCATTTGTATAAAAGGCATGGCTGACTTCTTGAACTTGACGCCGGGGCTTGGAATGGCGAGATTGACGAGTCTGCTGCTGTGTTAGGACGGGCATGTGCGCATTGTGATGGTTTTTGAGGTTGATTCATACCTGCACAACACAGTGCCATCTTTGAGCGCGTCCAGCAAGTCTCCCGCAGGCATCCGTTCGCCGAGGACGTCTTCTATCCAGGCGCGCACTTCATTCGCAGCCTGTGGCGTATATCTTTCCATGCGCAACTTCTTCATGTCATGGTCCAGCGAGGTAACAGAAGCCATGTTGGGGCAGGTTGGGCGCAGATCAGGCCGCCAGCTCTTGTTGTTATTGTGATGGGTTCGCGGGGTCAACAAAGATTGGTTGGATATGTCGAGGAAAGATGTGGCGGTGTACTATGCAGGGCTGGTGTTCGCACCTCTATCAGGCGAGTAACGGCAATGTCGAATGTTGTTGCGAGGTTGAGGAAGTACAGAGAGCGGCGTATTGGCTGTGGCGGTTACTGGTGGTGGTGGTAGTAGTGGGTGGTAATGGTGGGGAATGCTATGCTGACAACGCACGTCACCAGATTGCGCGTCATGCTCCCGCTCGACTTCAGCATCATTCTCGCTGCCCAAACTTGTCCCCCACCACCGCTCCCACTCCATAATGGCGGGCGCCCCCGGCCCAATTCGACGGGCATGGTACCAGTGGAAGATGAAGCGCTTCCCATGGCGCAAGAAGTGGCTTGTTGGTAAACAATTCCCCCTCCACTTGCACTCTTCGTTCTACTCTAGTTATGCATGGAGAGATCACTACAACAATATTCGCACATGGCCAAGAAAGACGTCCTCCAATCCAGCCGGCTAACTCACCACTCCCAGGCTTCGATCTCCATGGCAACACCTTTTGGGAATTCAAAGACGCCCTGCACGCCCTGCGCAACCGCCGGATCGCCAAATTCCACCGCAGCACGCACTATGGCGACGTAGAAGTCTCGCCCGCATGGATGCAATGGCTGCGTCATATTCGCCACGAGCCGCCCTCGGTCGCGGAACAGCGCTTGGATTTGCAGCGCCAGGAACGCATCAAACAGCTTGCTGCACAGGCGGATGCACGGTGGGCTGCGAAGCCGTCGGCCCTGGATGCGCCGGATAAAGGACAGCCGGTGCAGATGTTGCAGTCGCGGGATTCGGAGAGTGGTGTGGCGCAGGTGGATGCGCAGCAGCAAGGGGGAGAGATATCGCAGGAAACTGAACAACGGCAAGGAGGAGAAATATCGCAAGAAACCGACCAACAGCAAAGTCAAAAGTCAGCGGCAGACAGTCTATCAAACTCGCAAGAAGCACAACCTCAAATACCCCAAGACCCCGCTGTCCCACCAACCAAGGACGAGGATCTATTCGTCGCAAAGAAGAAACTTCGAAAAGAACCCAAGAACCCCAAAGACTCACCCTGGAACCAAGCCTCCCAGGCCCAGGAATGGCAGCCACAGGGTTGGAGTCCCGCGCCCGCAAAGAGAAAGACATGAGACTAGGAGGATCTATATATACAAAGCTGTACGATTAATTGTTTGTGTATGTAAAATTCCCCAAAGTATACAATTGACGATTAGAATATAGTGATTTTTGTATTACAGTGCCGTTTCGCAGATATCAATCCAACATGTTTTTTTATTATAACATGTCATACTCTGAGATATCGTACAACTATGCCATGTGATCCTTCTCGGCAGTGGCGAATACCAAGGCACAGACTGCGTAGAGTATGAGCTCTTTAACCTACAAAAACGTCTGTGCGGAAACGTTCCCTAGCAGCTTCGGTTCCGAGACTCGATTCCGCCGATATGGACACATGCAGTTCGCCATCTATCTAAGTAAGACGCAAGGTTGTTTTCGCTTGGGTATAATGGCGTTCGCGCCTGTTGCGGCACGAGGGCTCGCACGATCGACATCAGCCGTATTGCTATTGTCCTCGCCGATGCCAGGTCTGCCTCCTCCACGTGTGCGCAATCCGTGCATGTCATTCTCAACATCCCTCTTCCTCTTCCTGTCACTGAGATCTCCATCCGCTGGGTAGTTGTTGCGAGCATGGCCCATCGAATGAATGCCAGCGATGGTTGGGTCAATGAACCATGGCATGTCTTGACCTCGCAGTTTCGCGCCTAGCTGATCCTAACGGCCAGGTGGTCCAGAAGGGAAGCGTCCTGGTGGCGCGCCAGGGGGCATGGCTCCGGGTGGGGGGAAGGGCAGACCTCCGGGTGGTGAGCCAGCGCTGCCAGGCGGGGGAAAGGGAAATGGAGGCATGCCTGGTGGAGGGGCGCCGCCCATGTGCGGTGGTGGGAAGGGGGGCATGTGTGGTGGTGCACCGCCAGGGCCACCAGGGGGCATACCATGGGGGCCTGGGAACGGGGGCATATTCGGTGGCATGTTTGGTGCTGGGAGAGGGTAAGTACTGTGTTGGATGTGGAAGTATAAAGAATGGAAAAGGTGGTAACTTACGACCTCCGCGACCCATGAATTGTGGTGGCATCCCTCCCATTGGTGGCATTCCTATGTGAAGTCAGTCTTCTGGTCGAGTGTTTGTTTGCCATCTCCCCATGCACCAAATATCAGATACTCACCTGGAGGCATAAACGGTGGCATACCCCCGGGCATACCCATTGGAGGACCGCCCATGCCAGCCATGGCCATGGGTCCTCCTGGGAAACCTCCGCTGAGGTTCTGCTGGAACAAAGGATTCGCCTGTCCTTCGGTGTTGTAGGCGTCAGTTATACTATTAATGACTTGCTGCGTCTGATCGGAGGAGATTTGCTCGTAGTAGGCCTGGACATTGCGCAAGTGATTGCGACCGTTGTTGTGAGCTTTGCGGACGCTCATACTATCGTGGGTGAGGTAGACATCGCAGTAATCGCAAAAGAACTTGGGCATGTCGGCGGCTGAGATGCGATCCGATGTGGGCAGATTCGAGGAGTTTGTTTGGGCGGGGGGTAGGGTGAATCAAGTGTATGGAGGAGAGGGGGGTTAGCGATATCTGTTCTACCGTCTGTCGTCTGTCGCTGTCGTCTGGCTTTGAGGTTATTGTCTCTGCAAAGGTGGTCGCGTCGCGAGATGTTCAAAGCTTTGGCCTCTCTGGCTTGGCGGCGCACAGGCCCTAGAGGAAGATTAGGTAAGCGTGTTCGAGATGAAGTCGGCGCCTTTCAAACGCCGATGGGCTTGGCGAAACTCCCACCGACCGCCCCCTTCCCGCACTACCCACGCTAAGCTGCTTTTGGGGGCAGCACACTCGTTTAGCGATTTTGTCCTCGAAAATTGCCAACCTCACTTCCAGGAACTGCCCAACCATCACGAGTGCGCCTACACACATCCTCACCAGAAGCCACTCCCCCCGCAATCATGGCCGAGCAACTCGTTCTCCGTGGCACCCTCGAGGGCCACTCCGGCTGGGTCACCTCGCTGGCCACCTCGCTCGAGAAGTGCGTTCTTCCATCCATCTGCATCTATACACATCTATATACACACCCCACCGTGTTGCGCCATTCATGGCATGGAGAGGATGCAGGTGCAATTGAGGAGCCAGGGCGCGACGTGCTGACTTGCGAACAGCCCCAACATGCTCCTTTCCGGCTCGCGCGACAAGACTCTGATCATCTGGAACTTGACCCGTGACGAGACCTCGTACGGCTACCCCAAGAGGAGTCTGCACGGCCACTCGCACATTGTGTCCGACTGTGTACGTTTTTGACCATGCAACGGCTGCCTGGCGCATAGCAGCAGATGGGCGCATAAGCATACCACAAGACACGAGGCCAACGGGACTAACAACATCCACAGGTCATCTCCTCGGACGGTGCCTACGCCCTCTCCTCTTCGTGGGACAAGACCCTCCGCCTGTGGGAGCTTTCGACCGGTGTGACCACCCGCCGCTTCGTCGGCCACACCAACGATGTTCTCTCCGTATCCTTCTCCGCCGACAACCGTCAGATCGTCTCCGGATCGCGCGACCGAACCATCAAGCTCTGGAACACGCTTGGTGACTGCAAGTACACCATCACCGACAAGGGCCACACCGAGTGGGTCTCGTGCGTCCGCTTCTCCCCCAACCCCCAGAACCCCGTCATCGTCTCTGCTGGTTGGGACAAGCTCGTCAAGGTATGTACACTTCCATGTCCATGTTTGCATGCATCCCCCCTTTGTTATATGATGATTTGTTTGTATTTGCTACTTCAGAGCTACGGCGATGAGACCAAAAATCACCTTTAGTACTGATCGACACCCTACTCTGGAATTTTATTTGCCAGCATTTTCACAAACTTGAAAGCTGACGTCAATAGGTTTGGGAACTCGCCTCGTGCCGCATCCAGACCGACCACATTGGCCACACCGGCTACATCAACACCGTCACCATCTCGCCCGATGGCTCCCTCTGCGCGTCCGGAGGCAAGGACGGAACCACCATGCTGTGGGACCTCAACGAGAGCAAGCACCTCTACTCGCTCTCCGCCGGCGACGAGATCCATGCCCTCGTCTTCTCGCCCAACCGCTACTGGTTGTGCGCCGCCACTGCCTCGAGCATCATCATCTTCGATCTTGAGAAGAAGAGCAAGGTTGACGAGCTCAAGCCCGAGTACATGGAGGTTGGCAAGAAGAGCAGGGAGCCTGAGTGCGTCTCCTTGGCCTGGAGCGCCGACGGCCAGACCCTGTTCGCTGGATACACTGATAACCGCATCCGCTGCTGGGGCGTCATGGCACGGGGATAGATTGCGTCATGTCGTGTAGGGTAGTCGAGTCGAGTCGGTAGGCGTAAACGGAAAATCACGATTCCAACATCTTCTGTAGCATGCCATGGAACATGAATGATGCTCTATGACGGGATGGGGTTGGGCATGGTCTATTCTCTTCCGGCATTAACACGTTCAGGCGCTCAGTCAATGAAAACTCATCAAGTCCATTCACAAGTCTTTCATCGTGCGAGTCTCTCCTCTTCAAGTGTCTCTCGACCCCATCCAGATCTGTCTGGTAACTTGCAGTCGAGGTCCGTGGAGGACGGACGATTAGTAATCTTGATAGGAGTGCGTATGGCCTCGGTGCCTGGGAGCTCAAAGGATTTGCGGGGTGCAGTGCTTACTTTGCCTGCGCATAGCGGTATAAAGATGCCTCGTCGCTCGTGTTTGAATCTGGATGAATATAACCAATTCCCATGACTTCATGAATACTGTGGTTTATACTGTTGTACTTGTTTGGATAGTCTGTCGTGCAGCGATTGGTGTCTGAAGTCATTATCGATTGGGAGCAGTTGCCCTAGCCGACACAGGCGCGCTTGTTCTTACCCCAACATTTGTACCTCGGCATCTTTGCCCATCTCTCACGACTCGCTCGTGCTATGCTGATTGCTGCCGACGACACCTTTCACTCTGGTAGTCCTGGCTCCTGTGCGCTGCTTTCAGTAGGACCAAGCAAATCAATCATTCCCGCAGATAGCCCAATATCAGGCATCCCACCTCCATCAGCACCGCTAGTAGCCAGTCTTCAAAGAGCTAGTCTTGGTAACCCTGGCATCTGGAACAGATATAGTTTTTGAGACAACCAGAATCGAGGCCAGAATCGAGGTCAGAAAGAACTGGTGAATGGGACAGGATTGGCTTGAATCAGACAAGACAAGACAAGATGGCAGAAGCATACCAGAAGGAGTTCTTCAACGTCACGTTTCCGGCCGAACATGTGGCTCACGTTGAGATTAATCGGCCAGAGAAGATGAATGCATTCAAGGAGATGTAGGTTCCTTTTGTTATTTTTGTATGGGTCCCAGGATCGAAACATGTAGGAAAAAGCAAACTGTGAAAAGAGCGGAACAACGACCTTCAAGTCAAACATCAGACATCCCCCCTCACCACGTCGCTAACACTTGCCCACCCAGCATGTGGCTCAACCTCCGTGCCATCTTCCAACAGCTCTCCCACGATCCCTCGGTCCGCGCCATAATCCTCACCGGTGCCGGCCCCCGCGCCTTCACCGCCGGCCTCGACGTCCAAGCCGCCTCCTCAGGCCCCACCTTCTCCTCCTCCACCCACGACGACCCCGCCCGCAAAGCCAACGGCCTGCGCCGCCACATCCTCGAGTTCCAGGCCTGCATCACCGAGCTGGAGAAGTGCGAGAAGCCGGTCATTGCCGTGCTACACGGCATCAGTTTCGGCTTGGCCATGGACATGAGTCTTGCGTGCGATATTCGCATTGCAAGCGCAGATGCCAAGATGAGTGTCAAGGAGGTGGATATTGGGATTGCGGCGGATATTGGTACCTTGAGCCGGTTGCCGCATAGTGTGGGTAGTTTGAGCTGGGCCAAGGATATTGCACTGAGCGCGAGGGTGTTTGGGGCCGACGAGGCGTTTAGGCAGGGGCTGGTTAGTGCGGTGTACAAGGATAAGACGGAGGCTGTGGATGAGGTATTTCCCCTTTTCCTTTCGTCTCTTGCTGAGTTGTGACAAGAGCTAATAGTATTCAGGCGCTCAAGTTGGCCACGCTGATTGCCTCAAAGAGCCCGGTCGCGGTACTAGGAACCAAGGAGATTATGAACTACTCACGGGACAGGACGGTGGAGGAAGGATTGAGGTATACGGCAGTGTGGAATGCGGCTATGCTGCAGACGGAGGATGTGAAGAGTGCGATGATGAGTGGGATTCAGAAGAGGACGCCCAAATTCAGTAAACTATAGATCACTGTGGACAACATCATGGTATACGATTGCTTCATAATGGATCCCAAGGACGGCCGGGAAAAGTTTATTTACAAGGACTGCATCAGAGAACGCATCACTTGTTTCCTCATATCTTGCCCTCTCACTCCATCACAGCCTCAGCCTCAAATAATCCCACTCGATAAAGCCCTCAACGGTGTACTCCCACCCACACCCCCTATCTACAATTGTTTCATTCCTATCCCTACCACCATCAGCATAGTCCAATACCAAAACACTTGCCCTCATCCCTCCCTAACCTCCAACCTCAGAAAAGAAAACTAAAGCAAGAAACTCACCAAACAATTCTCCCTCAGGACGTTCGGACTCTATCCCGCCACTACCACCTAAACTCCCCGGCGTAATCGCTAACCAAGTCGTCCACTACCCTAACCCTCACGCCCATGTCTCCTGCCAGAAGAAATGTCCATTCTGGCATACCGCACTCCAGATTCCATCTCTAAATATGGGAATGGTGAAAGTATGTTTCCAGGTTGAAGGTTAGTCCAGACCCTGTGACTCTGGGATTCACTCTAATTCGCTGTATTCATACTCGCATGCTGAACTACAAAAACTACAATCTCAACTACAGTCAAGTCTCAATAACCCCCTGTTCCAAAATCTCACATATCTACAAGACAGCATATTCAATCTAAGACCCCGCATACTCACACGCTTCTGTGCAATAACGCGCGAGTCTGTGAATATGAAAGACTCTGCAATGCGAGGAGAATTGGCCGGTTGGGCCGTGTCGTTACGTGTGTCTGGAGGGTTGGCCTTTGGGGTTTGGGATGTCTGGAGAATTGGTAGTGCAAGGGGTGTGGGGTACTATCATGTTCAGGGGCGGAAGTGGGGCTGGTACTTGGATGGCTTGGAGGGTGGGCGGGAGACGTTGAATGGAAGGTGGTTTATAAGAAGTAGATGTATACACAGAAGTAGAACCCAGCGACCTGGAATATCGAAAGTTTTGAATCCCTAGGACCAATTGCAATATCAATTGCAATACCCACTCGGGCACTCAAATCTACCAGCCACGAATCGGCTTCAATCTCCTCCACCAATCCCTCAACATCCACGCATCAAACTCTGTAATCTCCGTCGCACTACCCGCATTCATCAGGAAACTCTCCTGCCCTTCGGGTAACCAAGTATAAAAATCTAGCACAGGCCATTAGCACACGTATATAGCAAAGCCAGGAATACACAATCCCTTGCACTCGACAAGATAAAAAACTTACCCTGCAGTCCCCAACTATGCCCAACCTCATGGTCCAGAATATGCATGTCCGGATTCTCCAAATTCTTAAGCACGTAGTCGGGACCAAGCTCTTGGCCCCAATCGAGCCCGGAGCCTCCGAGCCTTGCTCCAAGACTGTCTTCAATCCAAAACATCATGTCGTACCTGTTCTTAGCCCCGCCAGGACACTCGCTATAATCGCCGTCGAGGTGCTCAGCACGGTAGCAGCGGAGATCACAGTCAGGCCAGCCTCTAGGGTCAACGGGACCCTGATGGATCTCAAGCCCGCTCATGTCGCCTTCGAGGACGCTGCGGTCCTGAACGGCGTAGCGTGTAACCTTTACGTCGAGGGTGGTAAAGGGAAACCCTTCAAAGCCGACGAGCACGTCCGTCCATTTCCGAAGCGAGTTTTGGAGTGCTTTTTCAATCTTTGCGCGCACCTCGGGCGTGCTTTTGCCGGCATGGTTCCACCAGACGCAGTAGTTTATTTTGCCGTTGTTGGCCATTATTTTGTCGAAGATCCAGTTTTTGTTGCCGAGGACGCCGGGGTTTTCTTTGAGGGTGGCGGTTTCCCAGACCTGTGGTGTGTGTTAGTCTGGTGGGACGGGATGGAGGAGTGGGAAATGCAGTCACCTGGTCGAGGGCCTTGACCATGTTGGCAGGAGGGTTCCAGGTTTTGGTTGGGCGGATGGTGGCACGCGTTGTGAGCTCATGGCGGGCAAATATATTGCGCTCTTCAAAGGAACAGAAACGAAGATCGTCAGTGTGTTTGGTAGTTGGGTGTGCCAGCGTACCCAGACTGAAGGCTGAAAGAGCGAGGAGAGAATTGCATTTTACCATGACGAAAGTGCCTACGAAAGCAAGAACGGGAGAGTAAAACAGAATGTGCAATGAGCATAAATATTAGACATATTCACGAAGTACCTCTCCTGTTATACGGCTCCTTGACTGGCACGTCATATTAGCCCATCTGAGGACAATCCACAGGCCATAGGGTTGAGAACTCTAGAAGCCCCGATTACTCGTGCTCTGGGCCTGATATCTCGAACATGATGCATCTCGGCCCGATTGTGTTTGAAACAATGTGCAAGCGGTAGGAGGAAGCCTGTTTCAGCACGACGGCAGTGCCAACCTGGCCGTCCAAGTTGTGTGGAACTGGCGGGACGTGCTGGGCTTGGCGAACAGGCGGATGCAATTACGCCCTCGTAAAGACTTGTAGCAGACATGGCAATTGGTGGAGATAGGAACGGGGAGTCGCCATCTATTGCTGAATCGAGAAGTCAGAGTCAGGGCACCGCACCGTTAATAACGCTGGTAATACGGCATGTGTGCATTGGCGCGAACGGCGGGAACCCCTGTGCTGTTAGGTATACTACGAGTTACACATGAGCCATGTACCGGTAGGTACCGTACATCGTAGGTACCGTACCGTACTTAACCTGGTTCCGATAGACCGCGACGTTGATGCAGGCGTCATGGCAACACTGCCCTAATATGGTAGGTAGATATGTTCTGGGATACTAGATCAACCTCAACATCAACTACACACTATGGTATCAGGTCCAGGTCAATGCTAGTCCGAGATGTTACCGGTAGGTAACTTACCTAATACCCATGCCTAACCTCAACACCAACCATCCCATTAAAACAACCACCACACCACCCACCCACAACTCCGCAATCTCAACAGCGCCATGCAGGAACGGTCCGACAGCAATAAGCACGTATAGGGACTTTGAAACCATTTCACCCCGTACCTCGTACCTTGTCCATGGTACACAGGACACAATATCTCGCCGCTGATGCGTGGTTCGCATTCGGGGCTGACGGGGAAGTCGGACCTGCGGATTGGCCGGGGGCATGGTGTGTAGCTGGGCTGTGTGGCAGGGTTGTGTGGAGGGAGGGGGAAGGGAGGAGGGTTTGGGGGAGAAGTGGTGTTTGAATTGTGGTCGGTGTGGAGGCGTGGTTTGGGAGATGGGCTTGGATTTGGGAGGTTGGTATACGTGTGTACTAGTTATCTCGGCTAGTTTGAGGATCACGTTACTTGTCTTGTGCTATGCAAATAGCCAGGATGTAGCAGTGGCAAATCACATGATACTCAAACTACCCGAGCGCATGAGTATTTCATCATGATAGAATACGATACAACACCATAGCCTACCATCCCACCTCCCATGCCATAGGGAGTTTTTAGTTAGATTGGATCAGATCAAGTCATATCTAAAACAGGAAGGGCGGTAATAATAGTTGGTGACTATCCATGGAATCCTTGATTTTTGTACACATTTATACATTCGTTTCTCGACACAGGACAGGCAAGTAAAGCACTGGTCCTTGCCTCAACCCCATCACATCTACACGACATCTCCGTCCTAGACCAGTCCTCTAGCTCGCCCTCTCGGCCTGCAAACAGCGTTGAAGTCCCGCCTTTGCATTCCCTTGACCCTCCTTGAACCCAATCTTCCTGCTCAGGCGACCAGCCTCCTCGTACAGCGTGCGGGCTTGGCTGATTTTGCCCTCCATTTCGAGGAATTCGCCAAGGTTGTGGGTGGCGACTGCGCAGGCGACGTCGCATTCTGGGTCGCGGTGGGGCGGCTGTATGGTTTCGGCGTGGGCGATTGCTTTTTGGGCCCATTGGCGGGCCTGGTCGATAAGGAGGGGGCGGGGGGCGGGGGTGGTGACGGGGAAGGAGGAAGGGGAGGGGGACATGGTGGTTGTGGGTTGGGAGGAGGGGGATTGTTGGGCGAGACAGGTGGATATGTTGTTCACTATGCTGGGGTTGGTCATTGCGGAAATGGGGTTTCTTGGGGGGGGGGGGGGCAGGGTGAGTTGACTTACTGAGGACGACGCTGTGACATGAAGTTTTGGGGACGAATTCGAGTGCCTTGAGGAAGAGGGGGGTGGCGAGGTAGTGCGAGTCGAATTGCTCGTAGTGGGTTCCGAGGGCTGTCTTGGATCAGAAAAGGACTGCGTATGTCGGAATTGAGATTTGCCTACCTTCCAAAGTCCCCCCCATTTCCTCCTCTGTCAGCCAAGGCCCCTCGCCCGTCTTCAGGCCCTCCTTTTCTCGCCGTTGCCATTCACCCAGCGCACTTTCCACCGCCTCCACCAGTCTCTTCTCCCCATTCTCTGGCTCGTTGACGTATTTGACATCATATAGTTGGCCCAACTTCAAGTTGATTTGCACCATGTTCTTCTTCACCCGACTCCTGTTCCCATTGTTCCAATGCTTGTCCGAGAATTCATCCACCCATCGCTGGCAATCTGAGCGCATGATCTCCAGCACATCAATGGCCAGACTGTAGTGGCCCGCGTCCTCGAACAGGGCGGCGATGCTGTATTTGACGCCCATGATCTCGTCGCTGAAGGGATCCATACCCAGCTCATTGGCCAAGGCAAGCGCCTGTCGGAAGTATTTGTTGGCTTCGCGGATATCGAGATAGTTGCCGCGGCTGTAGAAGAGGGCGCGACGGAGCTTATTGGCGACGGGCTCGGGGAAGTTGTGGTAGGGTTTGATGATGATGTTGCGGTAGTACCAGGGCACATAGAAGATGAGGATACCAGAGACTACGGTGATGCTGAGCGCAATCAATCAGTAAGGAACGAGCAATGGAGGAAGATGAGAAACTCTCTCCAACCATCCCCGATGGACTTGGCTTACGCTCCAATGGCAAACGGGAACAATATAGGGCTTCTACGGAGTTGTTCCTGGAAGCCTTTCCGAAACGACGATGCATGCCGCCGACCCAATGGCGGTTGTGCGGCCGACTGCGATTGCGTCGTGGGTAGCCTCACAAGTCGACATACAGCGGGCGGGGTGTCGGCTCGTGTGGCTGTGCAGATGCGAGTTGTGGCGCGAGGCAGCGTTCTGGTGGTGAGCATCGTGGGGGTGGGGGTTGGCGTTGGGGTTGGAGTGAAATGATCAACTTTTGGGACAGATCCTATCGGACTATTCGTAGCCAAGTGAATTAGTAGTACGTTACTTAGTTATCTCGGCTAGTTTGAGGATCACGTTACTTGTCTTGTGTCATCAAAATAGCCAGGATGTAGCAGAGGCAAATCACATGATACTCAAACTACCCGAGCGCATGAGATACCGTACTGTTTTCCTTGACGAGGGCGCAGTTCATATAACCATGGAATTAGCGCTGCGTGAACTTGTATTTAGCATAGGGTTAGGCTGTGCCAAGCTCTACTAGCTAGCTAAGCGAGGTTAACTAAATATTATACTATAAGATTTTATAACGTGTTCTAAACCTATTCTAAATATATTCTATACTAGTAACACTATAAGCTACTGCTACTATACCTATTACTAATATATCCCTCTTATCCTACGTAAGTAGATTAAAATATATTTAGAACGTGTTCTTAATAGGTTATAGAAGCACTATTAATAGTACCTTGCCCTTAGCTATATCCTAGATAATATTAGGGTATAGCCTATAGTTAGCTCTAATAGAGTAGTTAAGATAGAGAGTAGAGAGCGCTACTACTATACTAAGATTAATAATAAGGGCACCTTATATAGAGTAAGAATAGGTTCTAAATATATTCTAAATAGGTTCTAATATTCTTAGGCTATTCTAGGTACTAGGGGCACTCTATATACCTATACTAAAAAAGATTATAGGCTTAATATAGCCTACTATAAGGTTAGTAGAGTTAAGAAGACTAGCTAGCCCTCTATAATAGAGGTCTATAAGGTAAAGAGTAAATATATTATTAACCTATTCTTAACTTATTATACTAATATATATAGACTTCTATATAAAGGTTATATATAATTACTAGAATACTCCTTACTATAAGTTATTTAGAATATATTTAAAACTTATTACTAACGTGTTTTATAGAAGTTCTCTAAGCCTAGCTAGTAGCTACTATAGGCCCCCTTATAAATACTAATACCCTCCTAAATATAATTTAGAAGAAGACTTATAGTAGCTATAATAGTAATAAGGTATAGCCTATAAGAACCTGTTAAAAATATATTACTAACTTGTTATAGCTTAACTTTATTACTATATCTACCCTACTAAGGATTTAAGGTTATTAGGTTCCTTATACTATCTGCGCTTGTAATTATCCTAGCTATAGTAAGTTATTTATAATATATTATTAACCTATTCCTAATATATTTTAAGACTATTACTTTAATACTAGTATAGACCTTGCTAATTCCTGCTAGAATACTATCTAGTTCTACTTATAGTATACTTTTATAGAGCCTAGGGAGGATAGGGAGGATAGAGAAGATACTAGAGAGGGGGAGGGAGATAATAATAGTAATAAGTAGGAACACGTTAAGAACGTGTTAAGAATAGGTTCTAATAAATAATATATAATAGTATATAACCTAAAGGGGTAGTAGTAATTACTAAAATAAACTCTCTACTCTTCTCTTTTTTTTTCTATCTACTAAAAGTAAAGTACTATTTACTTTTATAGGGTCCTTTAATAGTATATAACTTTTTCTTTTAACTTTTATAGGTATTATAAAGCTCTAGTAGTCCCTTAGATTAAAGAAGAATCTAGTATTTATAGGTGTCTAGCTATAATATATTATTAATATATTCTAAACATGTTTTAAGAGACTAGACTTATATCTCCTTTTTACTACTTTTACTAAATATTATTTATAGTATAAAGGGGAGTAACTATTTGCTCCTCTTCTTTACTCTTTACTTCCTCTTTAGCCTCTACTCTAGCTACTACTTCTTATTATAGACTAGCTATCTTAGAGGGTTCTTAAACCTTAGAGGAGGCACTTAGTATAGTCTACTCTACTAGTAGAGAATGTATTATTAACGTGTTTAGAACATATTCTTAAGTATTTACTATTAAGCTCCTATAGAAGATCCTTGCTTCTATAATACCTTATATTATAGTTCTACTATAGTTTACTAGGGCTATTTAAACCTTAGGATAATACCTCTTAAGGTAGTAAATAAGATTACCTCTATTAGAGAAGTAACGCTAAAATAGTTATTAATATATTATAAACGTGTTCTAACTTGCATATATATATACTCTATAAAGTTCCTATACCCCTAATCTAGCCTAAATAGCCTAGTAGAAAAGCTTGCTAGGAAATACTATACACCTATTATTTAGGTAGGATATTATAGGAGAGAATGCCCTAGTATTAGATAGAAGTAACTTAAGCTTAATATATCACTAGTATAAATCCTACTTAGTGTTAGAATAAGTTTATAACGTGTTCCTAACGCGTTCTATTATATACTAACTTTAAAAGATCTTTATAGACTATATTAACTAGTTATATCTAATAATATTAGGAAAGATAGATAGTAAAATAGTATTAAACTCTTAAATATAAAAAGTTCTTATAGAGTGTAAGAAGAAAGAAGAAGAAAGAGAAGAAGAAAGAATATATATTTATCTACTTATATATACTTATATAATAGACTAGAATATATTAAGAACTAGTTAGGAACTAGTTACTATATTTATAGACTAACCCTGCCTTATATAAAAAGTAGCTATCTCTTTCTTAAGTTTAAACTATGCCTTTTATAATTTAAATAGTACCTTTTTCTATATAAGTTCTTCCTTATCTACCTCTAGCTTTTCTTTTCTCTCCTTTAGAGCCTAATTACTAAGAAGAGCCTTTTATTATAAAGTTTATAGTTATAGACTAATAATAAGTTAGGAACGTGTTATAAATATATTTCGCAAAGCATACCTTTAGGTTACTATTAGTAGAGGAGAAGAGCCTAGTAGTAGAGAAGATAGAAAAGGGGCTAGTAAACTTCTTTCTAATACCGCTCTACTACTTGCCCTCTAGCTTTAGGCTTTTAAGCGTGCTCTTTTATTTCTTATTAGGACTAAGATATATCTAGTTAAGTTAGATATAGCAAGACTTGCTTTATTATTATCTAGAGTATTATTATTATTATAGGACGCGTTCTAAACACGTTCTAAATATATTTTAATTAGTAAATATGCATAACACTAGTGTAAGACTTACTTTCTCCCCTCTAAAGCTTTTTAAGGTACCTTTGCTTAAGCCTATTAGGAGTTCTATAGTTATAGCGTATTCTAAACTTGCTCTAGGCTTTAAACTCTTTTATATCCTATAGATCTATCTAGTGTGCACTACACAATATTACTTATATAATTCTAATAGGTTAAGAATAGGTTATAAACTTACTTCTAAGTGGCCTTAAGAATACTTATATGCTTACTAGTTTTATATCCTTTCTAGCCTGCTTGCTTAGCTATATTTAAATAAGATTCTAGTTTTTCCTATACCTCTTTTAATATTTTACTATAGTATTATATAATCCTAGTAGCAATTACTAGGTTTTTCTTATAGATTACCTAGTTTTAGGTATCTTTAGAGGGTTTGTGTTCTAATTATATAAGAATAAGTTAGGAACATGTTTAGAATAGGTTTAGAATATATTTACTTACGTAAGAGGAGGTTAGCAAGCTAAAAGTATTCCTCTACTATTAATGCCTATAGTAATTTACTTAGACGTAAAGAGGTAGTATTATCTAGCTCTCTTTTATATGCTTTGTAAATACTTCTTTATAGATATACTTAATAAAATCTTATATAAGATTAAAGTTGCTAGCGCTAGTTACGCTTATAGGGATTAATTAACTAGAGATAGCGCCTAAGTCCTAGAAACAAGTTAGAAACACGTTATAAACATGTTATAGTACGCTATAAAACTTGCCTGTTATCTGCTTGTTACACATATTAATAGTAGTCCTATAGAATCCCTATAAGTAAATATATGTAACAACCCTATCGTAAAGACACCTTATGGTGTTCTAGTTAATTAGGTGCATCCCTAGCTAGGTTTAGTGTCTTGGCGCCCAAGCTGTGCAAAACCTGCGCTTCGCGCGGGGCTTAGGAAAGACAAGTATTATTCTTGTGTTAATACTATACTAATAGCTATCTCTACACTATTCTATCTAGTATAAAGCAAATACTATTACCTACAACTAGAACATTATATAATAATACTTCCTATTTAATAGTCTAGAGATAGCTCTATCCACACGCGTAAATAGCTAAGGGGTACTACTAGCAAAAATATAACCACCCCCTATTAAGCTATAACTAAGGGAAGAACTAGCAAGCAGTTCCCCCCTAAGCGATAAGCGGCAAACCCCCACGCTAGACGTAGACTTAACGCTTAATAAGCGCATCTAAGCCACCTAAAGGAGACGCAATAAACTCTAGAAACTATAACGCCTACGCAAACTAGAAGCTAAGATCCTACACCTTAAAAGCCTAGAAAGGGACACTACCCTAGACTTAATAGGGAGTATAATAGAGGATGTCCCTAAGACACTTAAAAATACGCATAAGTAGGGCGCAGTCTAGGGCGCTAACGCCCCTACCTTTAAAGTGCATACTAAAACTAAAGGATCTATTAGAATATAAGGGAAAAAACCTTAAGGAATATTGTAAATTCTTTCGCTCTTATAAGGGAGCCTTTCTACTATTACTACAGACTTTCTACTATAATAAGGATAAGGTTCTTTAGGCTATATAGTACTTAGCGGGAGACCCCTAAGAACTATAGTACACGCACTTTAAGCGCACGTTTAGAGCAACTACTATAATAGTAACCTAGTTGTATTTTAAGGCGTATATGCTTAACTTACTCTCTAACCCTATTAATTACACACTTAAAGCAGCTACAACGCATGCTTAGGTAATATAGTATAGGGACTAAATAGTTTGCTCCTTTATAATATACCTTAAAGTCCTAGAGGATTAACTTACTCCCTATACTAAACAACAGAGAGTCTAGCATCTTTTCTTAAAGCTAAGGCTAGAGATATAGTAAGCAATTACTAACTACTACTAAGTACTAGCAACAAGAGAGGATTTAATA